AGACCTCCAAGTTCATCAAGCCCAACTTCCAACCTATCCCTGCCTTACTGGCCAGACCAAACCACTGGTGCCTCATCCAGTTTTTCCCTGGACACTTCCAGGGACAGTGACTCCACCACCTCCCTGGGCCACCCATTACAATGCCTGACCACCCCTCTCATGGAGAAATTCTTCCTGATGTTCGTGAAACACTGGAATAGGGTGCCCAGAGAAGCTGTGGCTGCCCCATCCCTGGAAGTGTTCAAGGTCATTCCATGAATTCCAACCCAAACCATTCTGTGATTCTGTAACTCTGTGATTTCCAGCCAACTTTTTAGACTTACTCTATTTCTAGTAAATAAACCAAGATTTATTATGGTTCATATGTTAATTTGTGAAGGGAAATCTGTTCCTCCCAGTCATTCAGCCATTGTCATACAGCCTATTTGATGCTCCAGAGTTACAGGCTTTGGGTTGGCTGCACATTAAACACTGTGGAGCACTGTTTCCAAGTTCTGAAATTGCCATGAGCAAGAGATGCAACTTCTGTTGCTGCCCCTGAGGACTATTACAACATCCAGCAAGATGTCGTGGATAAATAATGGGTTTTGCACCACATATGTTAAATTCTACATTATCCTCAGAGGAACTTACTGAATACATGGTTTATAAAGTCATTAGAGCCATAGCCTATCTAAATCTTTCTTTAAGACACAAAATCTTCCTGACTGACTGAGTGTGGAAACTACTTACAGGAAACTCAGCTGTTTAACCATGACCCTCTGGATGGATCCTCACTTTTCAGTATAACAAAGTTTTTAAGCATGTGAATGCTTCCTTGGCTTCAAAGTAATTACTCTTACTTTTCAAGTTATACACAAAACCTTAAAAGCTTAAAATTTTTTGTCAGTCACAGTTCATCTCAGAAAGAGTAACCACTGTACTGTGCTTTAACTTTGAGACAGTTCTCAAAGAAAATAGAATAAGATGTAATTTCTTTCTCCATTGCTGCTTGAGCAGATAGAGGAAAATTTAAGTATATGGTTAACTGCTGTAGCATAATATAAAGACTTGAGAATACTTCAGTTTAGGACAGAACTCAAACACAACTTTGTTTCATGTAGGCCATCTGTATTTCTGTAATTGGCTCCTATCGACCCCTCAGAATGTGTTTTCACACTCCTCTAAGACTTACATTTTAGTCAGTGGCCATGCTGACACCATTCTGCTGCAATAAGCCACAAACATGTCCCAGAGGACAGATCCTTGCAGAGATCCTTATGGCACGACACAGCAGTCTGGAAAGAGTTCCAGGGATGCATTGAGGTCACTCACACACCTCTCAGAAAATGTGTGAGTAGTTCTGGCCGTGCCCTTACCATGCTGCAGCTTCCTCCTGAAGGACGCATCTCTCTGAAATATCTCACATGAGACTCAACCCTTTTCATTTACTCAATTGCTCTCCCCACACACATTACCCAGCCCTCTTGAAGTACCATGGAATCTCATGACAAACTTTTATAAGGGTGAGACTGATCTCAAATCTCCATCTCAGGATGGAGCTCTGCATCAGAGCTGTCTGGAAAATTCAGTATAGCAACAAACTCCAGAAGCTTTGCTCCTTCCTTGGCAGCAGCTTATTGAGTTTATAATTGAATGCTCCCTAGGGAGGAGCTCCACCAGCCAACAGCTTTGGCCAAATAGATGTTTTGTTTGCCAAAAAGCTCTGATTTGGTTGTCAAACACAAAAGTCAAAGCCAAAATAGGCACCTAGTCAATGCTGGTCGATAATCAGGATCACAGGTCCTGAAGTTAGTGTAAGAAGTGAGAAGATGAAACAAAATTTTCTCCATGTGTCATAGCAGGGCACTGAGATGGAAATTTTCAGCTATCCCCAAAATTTTGTCCAGCAGGTCCTGCTGTGCTTAGAACAGCTGATAGGCATGGCTTATAGGCTCATATGTGTTAATTAACATTAATGTGGATGAAAAGTCTGACCATCCCAGAGATCTCTGAAGAAATTCCTCCTGCAAAATTGGCCATTATACATAGATAAAAAACTTGTAAATAATCCATAACAAGTATTCCTGTAGGAGGCCTTTAGAACATAACAAACCACCTCCACATGTGCTATATAATGTAAGACTACAACTTTCCACTTTTGAATCTAAGAGGATAATAAAACTTTTCCAAGTAAAAAAAATCTCACCTCAGGATTTCAGAAAACGTTATATACACACTACTGTGTATATTTTTGTATATGTTTGTTTTGACACACCAGAGACCACAATCCTAAATTTGGCCAAGCTTGTAGGATTCTTTTTATGCATTTCAATGAATTTCTAATCTCATGTGGCTTAGTCTGGCAGGACTTAAAACTGTTACCTTTGATGGCTGACCTATAAAATCAATTTGTATATTATAGTCCATATGAGGCCAGCACGGTCCATGGTACATAAAGTGCTAACAAAGAGGTGAATCAATCTAAATAAAGCCCTTTGGGACTAATGCTAATCAAGATCAATGACTTAGAGAAGATTCCATACAAATATGTGCAAGGGGTTATTGTACAACTATCAATTGGAAAGGAACTGGAATGGGTGGAATTCATAGCATTTGTTAGAATTATCGCCACACATATTCACAAAAAAGAATATATTTGTCAAAAATGTTGGGGAAAGATGCCACTGACTGGATAGTGGAAGATCTTGCTTATTAAATTGAAAAGAAAAGAAAAAATGCTTGATATTAGGTGTTTAAGACATGTATCTTGCCTTGACTATGACCTGCAGTCATTGCTGGAGACATTAGTAAAACACTGGACAAATGTTGAAACAAATTATTTGTTTCCTCAGGAGGAAGACAGGATTCTGAAGGAATGCTTTTGGGGTGAGGAACCAGCTGGGGGAGGTCAAAGTTGTTAAAGAGCATGAGATTTAAAAAAATCTTGCACAATGGGCAGATGAAGCAAAAAATGGTTTACAACAACCACATGAATGGACTGCCTGAAATGATGGCGGTTCATCTTTTGTTGGAGAAATGTAGACAAATTAATAAGGGAAAGCATGTACTGCACCAGAAAAATAACGGTAAAATTTGAAACAAGATAAAAGCACAATGTGAGATTTACCAAAGTGATTGCTTCTCACTTCTGCAATTTGTTATCTTCTGTTTCAGCTTCATTTCATAGGAGAAAAGTCTATTTAATGATTCAAAAAGGGGAAAGAGGCAATTGCAGAACCGTTTTATACATATGGACTGAAGTTGTAGGGCTGGAATAAGGTAGAGGTTGATTCTTCAAATTACTGTCTGATTATTTTTGAATATTTTAGAGCAAGAACCTGTAAGGAGGATAGGGAGGAAGGAAACAGTCTGAGATAATGCAGACAATTGGGCTTCCTGTGTTTATTGTAAGGCTGGAGGCAAAGGACTGAATGCAAACAATGAGGCTGAGAAACATAAGGGTATAATTATAATTGCTATAAATATAATTACAGGGAAAAAAAAGATAAAACTCAACTGACTAGGTCTTGGATCCAATTATAAAATGAGCAGTACATTCCTTCTGAGAGTCATTTTTTAGATGGATGTAAGCAACAGATACATGAGGAGAAGAGATTAAGTAAAAAATTGTTTGGAGGAATCTTTGGGAAAGAAGTGGTTGGTTGTGTTTTTAAAATGCCCTTTAGCTAGGAAAAGAGAATAACTAACTGTAAGTGAATTATTAAAAAACAGTAGAAAATGGAAAATGTTAACTTTATATTGCTAAACTTGAGATATTTACAAGTATGACTGCATTTAATCTTGTTGTAGTCACTCCATTTACATCCAGGAGAAGAAGTGGACTTTTCTAGGACACAATTCCTTTCAGCCTGATGAAGACATCCAAATTAAGCCAGATAAAATGCGCTCCAGCGGTGACTGTGTCATCCCAATGAGTACAAAGGACATTTAAATTCCTGCCTCATATGTAGATATCTACATCTGTAGGCACTTCCAGTCATGTGATATGAATCTCATTATAAGACTTTATTTAGGATGGCACGGGAGGGCACCAGTCACAAGTAAAGCAAAAGCATTGGGTAAGAAGGATTCCTAAAGATAGATAGCCAGACCCAGATTCAAGCATTGGTACAAAATTATCTGATAACAATATCAAACATCACCAAGTCAGAAGAGTTTCTCCCTAAGATATGGACCTCAAGCAGAAAATAAATATTAACAGTGTCAAAAATTTTCATATGAAAGTAAAAAGGGGGGGTTTTCCAGCCCTTCTTTCAAAGTTTTACAAAGTGTGTGTTAGATTATGTATATGGTAAATATAAAAAATAAAAAGGAAAAGTGCACTTCATCAAATCCTCTTCACATTGGTAGAAATATTTGACTATTTTTGTTGAGACTACCAAAATATATCAGTGTCTTCAACAGGAGCAGAGGAACAGCTTGATAATTAAAAACAAGAGCAAAAGACCAATTTTTTTTTTTTTGTATTTTGGGACTTAATGACATCCACCATGGCAAAACTATTGAAAATGGGATTGGATCTGTGTTGCACTTTTTTTTCTCAATATCCTTCCCATAGGAAGGAAACAGATAAATGTAGCATCAGTAGGTGAGTCACAGCTTCCTAATCAATATTTTGGTTCCTATTTCTGTCTCACTCCCTCTCTCCTCCCAAAATGTAGAAGTAACCCTTTAGGAGAGACAAGCAGCCAGCACATCACAAAGAAATCTGGGAAAAGGGTGTGTAACTGTCAGATTCATGCAGTCACACTTGATTTGTATTATTATTTTGGGGAAAAACCAGACATGCACTTAAAATCTTTATAAATGGGAAAATTTTCTCATGTTTGGATTCCATTAGGCATTTGATGAAAACCAGACTTGCAGCAGAAAATGAATACAGCAGGATTTAACACCTTGAAAATTGAAGTGTAGGAAACAAATCAATGTATGCCTGTGGAGTGGTCTTCCTCTGGCAATGAGAACAATTCAGTGCTGCAGTAAATTAGACTAGATTATTTCTGTGAATAGAACTTTATTGCAAAACTCTTCTCTTGTTTTGTTAGGAAATAGCTTACAATTGGTTGTGACACCCTACAACTATGTTGTGTTTATTATTCATAAGAATTTGCCAAGCAGATGCACTTTTAAGTAATTTCCAAGCTCTGAATCCCTTGGTAGCTGCTTCACAGAAGATGTACTACAAAAACAGTCTGTCACATACTTAATCTGGGATTAATGGAATTTATTGTACATTGGACTTGGGGTCAAGCCACATTCACAAGTCTGTGTGCATTTTATTATGTTGGTTGCTCACACATTTTTCTGAGACTTGATTAGGTGGCAAATATTTTAAAAAAAAAAAAAAAGGAAAGATAAATGTATAAAAAACAAAACAACTTGCTTTTTAAAATTAAAAAAAATGTGTTTGATTTAATAACCTCTCAGGATTCAAGAACCTTTTTGCAAGTGGAAAGCACATGTTCAGATAGAGACAAATAACTAACAACACTTTATGAACCAGGCAGATTGGATGTTGTCCTCTTTCCTGCAAGGAATTCAGCAACTATGGGATACTAGAGCCATGTTCGGCTTTGATCTGGGAAAGCATAAAATAGGTACATTTAAAAAACTGCTGCTTCAAAAATAAAATCTGCACAAGGAAAGAGACACAAGACACTAGCACAGAAAAAGGAGTGAGGACATTCTCTATAATTTTATTTTGAGGATAAGATTTTGTTACCATGGCCCAAAGAATATAACGACTCATTTCTTCATCTTTGCAAAGGCTCCAAATAGCTCAGTAGATCACAACAAAGGTTTTTGTGGTATGGGATGGTCAAACAATAGAAACTTATCCTTATGAAACTGTCATTACTTTCTTCCTCAAAGGAATGATTCAATGATTCAAAATGCATGGACAGATGGGCCTTCTGATTATATCGTCTTCATCAAATCCACCCTGAAGGAAGAAAACAAAAGCTAATGGATCATATAAAATGAAAACTAAAGTCACATAAATGCAAGCAACATTTCTTTCCCTTTTAAGCCATTCGTGTTGAATACCACGATGTATCAGTTCACATTTTTGCTTTATTACATTCAGAATCAAATCCCCTACCTTGCTTTGAATGAGGTAAAGTTGCTTTGCTTTTCAGGATGCTCAAGGATTATCAAATGATCTATAGAAGATAAAGTAGGTTAGAATAAAAAAATATATATTGAGTTATAAATCCAGTATTTTGACCTAAATAGTGTGAATCTTTTTATAAGCAAAAATTTTAAAAGCTGCACATTTGAACAAAAAGGATTTCAGAGCATGAGAATATATATAAATTACTTTTTATTATCTTGAAGTAGTAAGATCAATGCAGTATATGTCTATAGATAGAAACTCCAAATGTTAATGTTAATGCTGTTTAAAAAGTGATTCCAGAAAAAGTGCTGAAAAAAACCAAGTAGTACACTGTGATTTTCATATCAGGTTGCATTTTGTGCATGACATATGTTTATGCCTGTGCATGCATATTAATATGGCACTATATAGTACCAGAGCTTTGGTGAGCATTCTTTCCTGAATGATGATATTCTTGTTTTTAAATCCATTGAAAATCAATCTCTAAATTTTGTTTACAAGTTGTGGTTCAACTTGTAAATAAATATCTCTTATTTCAGACTTTTGAGGAGATTGTGTCACTGTTTTGACTGTAAGCCAAGGCTGATCTTCAGATATTAATTTTTTTAAGGTTTTTCTTTTTAGTCCTTCTCACATTTTGTTAGTATGCTCTGAACCTGATTTTATTCTAAAAGAGAAGCCATTCATGGGACAGCTGAAGTGTGATTCATTGGACAAAATATAGACAAAATCATATCCAGTCTTCACCAGGCAACCCCTTGGGTACTTCATATTCCTTTCGGTGAACTGGATGCTTTTAGGTTGTTTGAATATATAAATAATAAGATATATGGCTTCTAAACAAGAATCTTCCACAGGACACCCTCCACTGTCTCAGGTTGCCTCAAGCCCCGTCCAACCTGGCCTTGGGCACTTCCAGGGATCCAGGGGCAGCCACAGCTTCTCTGGGCACCCTGTGCCAGGGCATTCCCATCCTCACAGGGAAGAATTTTTTCCCAAGATCCAATCTAAACCTGTTCTCTTGTTAAAAACCATTCATCCTTTGTGCTGTCGCACAAAGTCACACTCGGGACTTGTCCCAAGTCCCTCTCCAGCTCTCCTGGAGCCCTTCAGGCACTGGAAGGGGCTCTAAGTTCTCTCTGGAGCTTTCTCCTCTCCAGACTGAGCACCAGCAGCTGTCTCAGCCTTTCATGGAAATGTGCATTTGAGTCCTGGAAGAAAATAGACGATTTGATGATGCACCAGGATAAAAGCACACTCAGATAGGAGGACAGAGAATTATAACAGGTTGTGTTTCTTCCATTTACATGGCCCACGTGAAAGGATATGATGAACAATGAGCATTTCTAAAGACTTGTCACCTTAGGGAAATTATTTGGTTATTTTGGGTCTATATTCATGTACAGAAACAACGATCAGCTTTCTCCATTGAGTGCATTTCTATTGTATGTCTTTAATGCAGGACTGGTCTTTGTTATTTGTTACCTCCGTGTCATTTCCTAAACAATTCTCTGCTGACTGTGAACCTAGAGAGAAGGAAAAAAAACCCCAAAATAATGCAAATAATTAGGTTGAGGTGGTTTTTACTCATTACTGTCAGTGGTAGATGCATTTTGCACATACATTTTAAACCTGTTCAGAGATTCCAGTTTCAGTGCTCAGATGTTATATCAGTGTTCTCAGACATTGCTGCATTGCAGAAATAAGTCACAGTCAGCTGAATGACTGTGAGGGAGAATATTACATGAAATAATTCCAAAGGAGGATGTTAAACTTTGCATTTTCAGATGCAAGCAACGTGATGGTTTGATGAAATGGTATCAGTAGTGCAGGAACCTCCAAGGGCCCCTTCAGCAGCCACAAAAGGGGCTTTAAAAAGACTGCAGTAATTGCCTGCAAAGAACTGTGTGATCATTAACTGTTAACCTGAAACTTCAGTAATGTTTTATTTTACCCATGAGTGCTTTTTTCTCTTTCTTAGGGAGCTCTGCTATATTGTAAATCTTCCCAGAAAAATCCCCTCAACCTTGCTGGTGCTGTGGTATGAAACTCCACCTGCTCTCTGGCCAAACGTTGCCTGGCCAGTTGCTTGCACCAGCAGAAAATAGTGGCATAAAATTGCCACTTCTGCAATTTAACTGGAAAAATTGCCAAGAATAATATGGACTTTTTTTTTTTTTTTTTTTTTTTTTTGCTAAATCACAAGGAGAAAAAAAATAAGCAAACCAAACTGGAGATGATTTCTAAACCAACTCTGCCAATAAAACAAATAAACAAACAAAAACTCAACAAAAACAACAACAACAAAGGCTTTAAAGCTGTATTATACAGTTATTCCCCCACACCCTCAGATTTAGCATGGATTTATCACCATTTATAAGCAATGGGAAACTATAAGTTGGTGTCCTGGAAACTTTAATGCCAGGTTAGCAGGTGGGCAGCACAAATACATCAAATGCACAGAGGGAAGCTGGAGTTGCTAAAGCAGCTCTATTTCTCCCATCAACACTGATGGGTGTGGCAATTCTCTCCATTTTTACTGCAGGTCTAATTAGCTGAAATGGGTAACATATTTAGGTAATAGCACTGCCATCAGCTCAGGAGCTGCCACATTTGCAGGAAATGTGATTATCTCCTGGTAAATGTGCTTTCTGTATCAGGGATAATTATGTCCCTGTAGGATGCAATATAATAATTTGGTTTTTAACCTAAGGATGACAAGCATGGGCTTTGCTGTCTGCTCTTCAAAAGTTACAGCAGAAATTCAGATTCCTGCACAAAAATTCCTCCACCAGCACTGCCATGTTATTGAAAATGGGTAAATAAAGTAATCCTCAGTTGTCTTATTCTCTAAAAAGGAGAAGGAAAATTGCTTAATAAAAAAGTTTGTGAGAAAGTGTGGATGAATTATTTGAACATAGGTTTCACAAAAAAATTAATATTAACCCAAATTTGGGGTTGAATTGATACCCAGGATGTGCATCCTGTGGGGTTTTTTTTTTGTTTTTTTTTTTGGTTTTTTTTTTTTTTTTGTTTTTTTTTTTTTTTTGTTTGTTTGTTTGTTTTTTTCAGGGAGCTTAATCATAGGCAGTTATTTCATTAATCTTTTTCCTATGGGAAAGAGTATCTTTGTCCTCACCATTTTCTACACCAAATAATCAATATCCAGTGTTTTTTGATGCCTAAAAAGTGACTAAAGCATAATTCCACAAACAATTGAAATGGAAGCTGAGCTAAGGTTTGCAGTCTTCTCTTATTGCTTTGGGCTCTGAGTTCATGTGTTCTCAGAGCTGGATTAGAGAGGGGATAAAAAAGGCAAAATGTAGGAAATAAAAAATTTAATATTAATAAGACAGATTTAAACGTGGACTAAGTGAGAATGGAGCAGAGATATTTTTGATTGCTACAATTAGCAGAATTATGGAGATGCATCTGTTTATCTCATGCCAGTCTCTGGGGGTAGCCTGGAAGTAGATGTTCTACTACAGAACAGTAGAGAACAGGAGTCAACATAAACCTTTTACTTGCTTTTCTTACATTTTTCTTATTTAAAATAAAGTGATTTATACAAGCTGGAAGCATTTTATAGTCTGAATTCACATCTCTGTCTGCTGTGAAAACCCTGTGGTTCTAAGGTCAGAAAGAATTTCTTGTACTGCTGCTCTCATACAATGTTCATATCAGTCACTGAGCCTTTCTCAGAAACTAAATGAAAGAACAAACAGAAATAATCTCATGAATATGCATTTCATCATTTATAATGCATATTTTAAAATAGAAATAGGGCCTAAGCTCCATGATCTTACCATTAGAACAGACTGAACAGGGGTGTGTGTATTTTATATATAGACATAAATATGTGTGTGTGTTTAAATAGAATTTTGATTAAATTTTCCAATATCAACAGAAAAATGATGTCTTCTAATTAAATTTACAAAACTCCATAAACCAATCTGTAGCTTTCTGGTCTCTGTTTGCAACAATACAGCTGAAAAGTCATTAGAATTAATACACATAAAGAAGCTACAGGTCATGCTAGGTGATAGGTCATAGAATATCTAAAGCAATAGAATAAGGATTAAAAAAATCCTTTATATTTCTTTTTAAACTATTCAACTAGTTAGTGATGAAGCCTGTGGAGAAGCAGAAAAATAATTTTGTGATTGAATTACCGAAAATTAGGCTGAATAAAACTTCTTAAACAATGCTATAGAGAACAATTCCACACTAATGGCAGTGAACTTAGATGATCTCAGATTATCTTTTCCAAAGCTGATTCTTATGGGGCTACTTTTTTAGCTGACATACCCATTAACAGCTTATAAAGGAGAAATAAAGAGAGTGAATACAAAGGCTGTTAATCAAAGAAGCTTCCCCTAATTGGTCAAGGGACCTTTTTACACTAAGACATCCATTAGAGTCTCTACCACCTTGATCACAGTGTTATGTTACATATTCTCCTTAATGTAAATGATTTATGTGTTATGTGTTTCTGCATTTGAAAAAAAAACCAACAAAAAAACAAAACAAAAAAACCAATGTGGAAGACGTTTAGTTTATTATATACTTTAATGCAATGCGTTTGTTTTTTTTTTGTTGTTGTTGTTTTGTTTTTTTAATTGTCAGTGCCTTTTTGGTCCAGTAGGTTTTATTGTGTGATCAGCAAAGTGACTTTGGAATTAGACCCAAAGCACAGCCCTCACCTGCAGCCAAGGCACACATGTGCAACTGGGATCCCACTTAGAACTTCAATAATCCCCACAATATTAACAGCTACCATAAGCAAGGTGATCTGGGTTTTATCCCTGCTGCTGCAGAAGAGGAAGCACCTCAGGTGTGAAAAGTAACTGCAGCTATAAAGTCCTAAATGGCTGCAGATATGCTGCAATGTACAACAGTTCCATGGCATGCTGGAAATTAAAAAGTTAGGACAAATCACAGTGTGGCCCCCCCAAAAAAGAACTCCCAAAAACCACCAAGGGCTGGTCTCAGGAGCCATTTCTCACCAGATATTGCCCTGTAGCCACAGAGTGTTGCCACAGGAGCGCTGTGGTCTCTGCCCTGTTGAACACTGCTGCTGCTGTGGCTTCTCCAAACTTTTCTGTGTTGTCCTTGGAAGACATTCTCTTGTCCTCATCAATAAATCAAATCACAACGAGAGCTAATGAAGGCAGAGTCTTTGTTCAGTAAAATAGGAGTGCCACTTCTGGTGTTCACTCAGTAAAAGCACGGTTGGTTACACATTGCAGACGGTGGTTTGGGTAGGGACTGCTAGGAGGCCAAGTCATCATCTCTCCCCAGCTGGATGTTCCCCAGCTTGTCTTGAGGCTGATAAATGTATCCCAAATTACTTGACTTCCTGGGAAGTAAGTGAGCTGCAAAATCAGAATGAAGACAAGGGATAAATGTGATCTCTAGTGTATCAAAGGGTTATAAAAATTGCAGACCAAGGTTTTCCACAGTGCTTAGAGCGTGCTTCATTTAGACTAACACTGCATGGACTTCAGGTCTCATCTGTTTGCTAAAGGATTTGCAGGGTTCCTTCCCACTGCCATTGCTTTTATTCATACTAATTGCTTTTATTCCAACTGCCAGCCACTCCAGGGTCTGTTCTAGCAACTGGGAATCCCAGACACCCAAATGAGCACTCATAAATTGAACTAAAGAATAAAAGTCAAAACAGTAATATTTTCTCACTATATTACAGCTGAGTCATAACAAGCAGCCATGTCCATCACAGAACAGCTTGGTTTGGAAGGTCTCTGAAAGCCCATCCAGTTCCAACCTCTCTGTCATGATCAGGGACATCTTCCACTGTCCCAGGTTGCTCCAAGCCCCATCCAGCCTGGCCTTGGGCACTTCCAGGGATCCTGGGGCAGCCACAGCTTCTCTGGGCACCCTGTGCCAGGGCCTCACCACCCTCACAGTAAGGATGTTGTTCAATCCTTACTCATATTCAGGTGTAGATGACACAACAACTTGAGTCTTTACGTGGTGCAAACCAGAGAATTGATCCTGTTGGCATTTTCCTGCCTTGTGTCTATCCAGAGCCTGTGCCTCCATCATGATGTCACATCTGTCATTCTACAGAGGAGAAAGCTCCCATCTGTGTGACCCTGCAGGAAACCTCTGCTGAAGAACACACAGGTCACTCAGTCCAAAAAAAAGCAAAGCATTGTCTGAAAACTCTTTCTCAGTTTTACAGTTATGAAATAAAAAACATCTTGTAAAGAGATAATCAAATATAGCAAATGCCTATCAGCAAGAGAGAAAATCATATTTAGGTTCTATTGTTTGTGACTTGTACAAATTTAAACAAAGTTGTCAGCAAAGTGGTGTTTTACTGTTCTTTGTTCCTGCATATTTCATTTTGATGTTCTCACAAAAGAAACTTCACCACTGAAAGAACCTCGAAAACTTAAGAAAGAGTAAGCAGTCTCTTTTATCTGTATTTGTGCCACAAAAGACAAAATAATTTTATGAGATAGTGAACAATAAATTCTCCTTTGCTCTTCTGATATGGGAGCCACATTTTTCTGGGTACAGAGTGTATTTAGTTACAGAAAAATGTTTAAAATTACACCAGGTATAATTCACTCAAGAATCTGAAAATGGCAAGGCAGCATGAGTCATCTTATTCAAAGTGGAAAAGAGAAGAGTTGTGTTCTTTGAGAAAACAAAATTGGACCTAAACCATGGAGTGTGTATTGTCCATTATTTGAAATTGCCAGCAAGAACCCTGTGATTCCAAAGCAGATTGGACATTGTCCACAATTGTCTTCCATTGTCTATGGGAGATGATAAGAAGCAGACAGTAGCTCATTTTAGCAATCCTGCCAAAATCAATAGTATTTCAGTGAGAAGCAACTTGTCGTGCCAGCAACTGAAGCAGTGAGTGTCAAAGGAATTAAACTCTTCTTTTTACAGGCTTGGGTGTAATTTAAGGGAATGTAAAGGAGGTATTCTGTGAGCTTTGCAGCCCTAATAGGGATGGAAGTTACCTCTCTGCAGCCTCTAGTTCTGCAAGACTGCCCTCAAGGTCAGCAAAACTTGTGTCTGAGCAAAGGGCTGGAATAAGAAGTGTGTCTACACCTGAGCAGAGTGGTTTGAGCACCTGCCTTTGGAAAACTGATCACAGACACTCAGTGTGAGCTCGAGCAGTCCCTTTGTTTTGAAGTCAAGAGAAGTCTTCACCCCACCACATCCATTCTCAGGCGTGTGTGCTCCAAGGATGTTTGAAAATTGACATCTGTGAGCCCTCAAAACTTAACCATTTCCATCATGCATTAGACTTGTGGCTACTTATATACCTGTCTGTGGCAGGCACATTCTTCCCTCTCTTAGTATTTTTTTTCATAGAGGAGCACAGAGGAAAGAAAGAGAAAACAGATTCTATTTCTGCTCCTTTTTTTTTCCGATATGGAATGTGTTTGGAGAATTGTTTACCTGGGGTGGTTGCTTGATTGGATTCTGGTGAGTGTCTGGACTTTCAAAAGAGGGTCACGAGTTGTGAGGAGTTAGATTTGGTAGTTAGAAAAAGTAGGTATGTAGTTTTAGTATCTCCTTTAAATAGTATACTGATGTGTAATAGTATAGTTATAATAAAGAAATCATTCAGCCTTCTGAACTGGAGTCAGACATCATAATTTCTTCCCACTGGGTTCACCTGCTTTTACAATACCTGTCCACCTTGTCTCACACCTTCTTTACCCAGCAGTGCTCACTCCATCTGCTGGAATGCAGGGGGTAGGATGGGGCAGGATCCAGAACCATCACAAGCAAATGTTTTTCCTTCAAGGGGTCAATTCCCTACTAAAAAAAAAAATAAAAATCAAAGTACACAAAAATACGAACTCCTTTAAATCTCCCTCTCTAAGGCATTACACTATTGAAACAGCTTCACATTCCTAGTAAACAGTACCAGTGACTAAAGGGGATGCAAGAGAGCTGGAGAGGGACTTGGGACAAGGGTCTGGAGTGACAAGACAGGGGGGAATGGCTTCAAACTGACAGAGGGCAGGGTTAGATCAGACATTAGGAAGAAACTCTTTACTGTGAGGGTGGTCAGGTGTAGTAGGCACATTCTCTCTCTCATGATTTTTTCATTGAGGAGCACAGAGGAAAGAAAGAGAAAACAGTTTCTATTTCTGCTCCTTGTTTTTCCCATGTGGAATGTGCTTGGAAAACTGTTTACCTGGGGTGATTGCTTGATTGGATTCTGGTGAGGATTGTTTGAGCCTGATGGCCAATCCAACCCACCTGGGGCTGGGCTCTCAGAGAGGGTCACGAGTTGTGAATTAGTTAGATATGGTAGTTATAACAAGTAGGTTTGTAGTTTTAGTATCTCCTTGAAATAGTATATTAATGTATTCTAGTATAGTTATAATGAAAGCATTCAGCCTTCTGATCTGGAGTCAGACATCATCACTTCTTCCCACCAGGTTCACCTGCATTTACAATAGTCAGGCCCTGGCACAGGGTGCCCAGAGAAGCTGTGGCTGCCCCTGGATCCCTGGAAATGTCTGAGGCCAGGCTGGATTGAACTCTGATAAACCTGCAACAGTGGAAGATGTCTCTGTCCAAACCATTCTATGATCCTATGAAATCACCTGCAATTATTGAAGGGCTGTGTGATTAGCTTAGTTGCCAAGACCAATATTTGCCTTTCAGGACTAAGACTGAGCTGTTTTGCTTCAACTTGTTAAAAGAGTAAAATTACAGAAATCCTATCAAATAAAATAGTGAAACATTAAAAAAAAAAAAGTATAGGTTCTTGTTTTTACCCTGAGGGAAAATGATCCACAACAAAGCACAATCCTTAGATTTGGTAATTTCTAGCCATAAACCTCCCTCAGAGAGTTTGCAAGTTCTCCCAGCCCAGTACCTGCAATAACTATCGCCCTAAAACGTGGGACTGTACCTCCCACTATCCCCACCACCCAGAGAAGAATAGGGAGAAGAATTTATATTCAGCTTTTCCCAAAATCAGAGGTTTTGTCACAGAAGGGGCCCACTGTACACAGTCTGATAAATTTCTCAAAAATCACATATTTCCTTTGTTTCAGCATTCTTGCTCTCTTTGTATCTCTGCTGACTGATGTATCCTATATCCGTCTCCAGTTGCCCTTCCATTGTGACTCTAAGTAAAATAACAAAACATAAATATAAAAATACAGAGCTGACTTACTCTTCAGGTCTGGGATTGGAAAGAAAACCATCATGGCAAGACTCAGCACCTGAACATTTCTTTTTCCTCACAATTCTTTAGGTGAAAACACTTCTGGTGAAGTAAATACAGGTTCAAGTGTAATTTAATTTGTCATGGTAAGTGGGATTTGTTCTTCATTATCTTAATAATTTACCTGGAAAGATTTATCTCTGAGTGTAAAGAAAACTGTTCAAAACCCACGTTTCCTTATTTTCTGATGCATTCATAAATGACCATTAACATGTTTAAAAACATTTCACCATGATAATAATAACAATAAAGCCTAATGTTGTGAGGCTTTGGAAAATGTAATTTGCTTAGAGAATAACAATGCCATACCTGATTTGTCCAGTTATTTTGGGGGGAAGGGATTTTTAGCAGCCTGAATAACCTGATTTAAAGATTTATTTTCTAAAATAATTTTCATGTAAAATTTCTGTATATTAAATAAAATAAAGATGTAAACTATAATTATAAAATTAAAAATGTTAATTATAAATTATACTTTATACTATAAAAATTAAAATTTAAATTAAATGTTACACTGTAAAAATAATCTCATGTAATTCTATTTTTTGTCATATGGGACTTTATTGTACAGCTTTTGAATTTATTTCTTGCAGGAGGCAATAAATCAGTGTGTCCCAGTAACAGCAGCTATTCAGTGACATACATTGTGGCTTCATGACTTCAGAATACTAATTTTGACCGCTAGTTTTAAAGTGTCAGATCTCAGATGATTACTTTCCCAATGTTTATTTTCAGAGCCCTTTTTCTAGACAGCACTGAATATAAATATAGGTATGGCAGGAGCTCAGCACAAACTGTACTAGAAAATCATTTATCTTTGCTTGTTGAAATCGTTTTTGTAGATATCGATTCACAGTCAGTATTTTACATACAGACTCCTTTTAATGCAGCTCCTTCAAGAGTAGACAATAAATTAAATGTGCCCTTATTGGAATAACTTGCATCCACATCTTTTTTTAGATCAGTAGTCTGTTTTAAATGGAGTTTGTCAGGCTTAGATCTCATTGCCTATTTATTCTTTCATGGTAACAAGAAAAAAATAATAGGTAAGTAGGTGAATACATAAAATTTGTGAAGCTCCACAAAAGAAGGCCAAGATTGTTGCTGTCATTATGCCCTCACTGTGCCTTGTTAGAA